TTATCTAGGCTCTGTGGTCCAATGAAGTTGCCTTAAGCTGTTCTATAAATCTGGGCATAATTTAATAAGTGACTATAGATTTTCCATCTCCGGGGCTTTACTCTTCTCGTGAGTTGCTATTAACTGCAGTATTTATCACGAGGCTTCTCGTTAGAAGGCAGCATAGCTAGCAGTGTGGGCATAACCAAAAGGGATGGCCAAAATGTTCTGGCCTAGGCCCAGACCCTCAAAGACCTCCTCACTTCCATGGAAATCAATGAATGAAATCAGTGGAACCAAGAGGAGTTGAGACCCTAGCTGAGTACATGGGGAGGGGAAGGATTCACAGTCATTTCTGGGCCCTCTGGATTGCAGTTCAGAAATGTTCACACTTGTTCTCCTCTCATGAGAGTTCATATGAGTGAAATGTTGAGATTAGAAATGTTCATCAGAAGCACATTTCAGGCAGGGGCATCATTTGCTATGGATTAAGAGGTGCAGTCCTCCCCCAACCTTGGTTTGCCCCACTGTCCCCAATTTTTTGTCTCTATGCTCCACTTCTCCCTCGCCCCAACTTTTTGTGGGATATCATTTAATCACATATAATGTTCTATATGCTGACACAACTTTGCCCCCTGCCAAAATTTTTCTGATTTCAAGCCTGTAGCCAAGATTCAGTTAGTTAAGGGAATAAAAGATCATTTTATGGCAAAATGAAGCTTGTTTCAGGTACAAATGTAAGTGACTTGCAAAGGACACAACAGCCAATGAGGAAACTGAAACAGCACCATGCAGCTTTGGGAACGAGGCACAAAGCTCGACTAGCAAATGCCAAGCATTGACTAGCTGATGAAGGGTCAAAGTTTCAAAAGTACCTAAGTGATTTAGGAGATTAAATCTCATTTTCAAAAGTGACTTAGGCACTTAGGAGCCTAAATTTCATTAAGAGTCTATGGGACCTAGGCTCCCGGGGCCAGATTTTCAAAGTTATTTAGGCACCTAAAGAATAAATCCCTCTTGGTGTCTATCTGCATCTTTTTGAAATTTAGCCCTAAATTCTGTTTTCAAGACGCAGGCAACTAAGATTACAAATACAGTCAAATACAGACGCTCCCCGACTTACGCAAGCATTCCGTTCTGGAACGCCTTGTGTAACTCCGGTTTTGTGTAAGTTGGAAACGTATACCCGACCGTTACTCAAAAAAAAGAAAAAAAACCCCACCATTACCATTACCATTTCTAGCTTACGGAACTTTTTCCGTAAATGCGGATTTGCGTAAGTCGGGTTTGCGTAACCCGGGGGGCGTCTGTCAGGGATTTGTGGATATTAACCTAGAAGGACCAAAGCTTACTCTCAAAGTCACTTCGTATTGCCGCTGCTATGTTTGCTCCTCACTTATGCCAGTCAGCAGCACATGTAGTTGTAAAGCTGTCACTGGAAGCACTTGATTTGTTTTCCCTTGTGCTCTGAGGCCTTTTCTAACATTAGATTCCCCCCCCCCCCCAGGGAATTCCCCATCATCACTCGGGCAGATATAGCACAGTGGTGGTTTGCTGTAGTGTAAACAAGGCTCTGGGGGATGCTGTTCTTTTTCAACTGTCTCCACGTGCTCTGAGCAGAGCTAGGTGATGTGGTTGGAAGGCCATTGGTGCCAGTGCTTTGTCTACACTAGAGTTCAGATCATTGCTACTACCCGGGGACCTGTACCTGTGGCAGCTACAATGGGCGTTTCAGGGATAAAAGTCTAGTGTAGATGCAGTCAGAAAGACCTGTCAGAAAGAAATTCTCACCCTTTCAAAGGCCACTGGCCTCCAGATAGAAGAAAGTTACAGCAAGTGGATGTTACTAATTGGAGCTATTTACAAATAGACGGTGGTGCAATGCCACTAAGATCCTTAGACGTGCTTAGCCTTGCCACGTAGAGAGTTAGCTGTGATGCACATGTCTGATTTGGGTGAGTGACTGGTTTTAAGGCTCTGGATGTAGTGTCCATTGGGATGCAATGCTCTAGCTAGAAGGTGACCCCTCTGTAATGACACACACACACACACACCCCTCTTTCTTCCACAGGTATAGTTTCCTTGCACAGAAAATGCACTGCCTCTCATTTTTCAGCATAGCCTTTTTTTTGGTGAGGCAAGAGAATCAAATCTTTAACGTGCCCTCTTCCTCTCTTTTCCCAACACCTCACTGCCCTGCAATAGAATCATAGAATATCAGGGTTGGAAGGGACC